TTTACTATTTCGAATAAATCCCGAAATTCAAAACTACCTGTTATCCAATAAAAACCTAAAATTCCTAATAATAAACCAAAATCCCCTACACGATTAGTTACAAACGCTTTTTGACAAGCATTTGCCGCAACCGGTCGTGTGAACCAAAATCCTATTAATAAATAGGAACACATTCCAACCAATTCCCAAAAAATATAAATTTGTATCAAATTTGAACTAGTAACTAATCCCAACATGGAAGTACTGAAAAAACTCATATAAGCAAAAAATCTCAAATATCCTTGATCATGAGACATATAATTATCACTATAAATAAGAACCATAATTCCAACACTAGTAATTAATATTGACATAATAGAAGTAAGTGGATCGATTACGTAGCCCAATTCTAAAGAAAAATCATTATTGATGATCCAAGACCATACATATTGATAGATAGAACTGCTATTCATTTGCTGAATAGACAGATCGATCGAAAAAATCATGACTATACTTAACAATAGAACACTAGGAAAAGCCCATATACGACGGAGATTTTTTGTTGCCGTCGGAAAAAGAAGAAGCCCCACTCCTATTAACATAGGAACTGGAAGTGGAATCAAAGGTATGATCCACGCATATTGATATGTATGTTCCATAAAAAATAAAAAGTAATTAATTGTTTCCGATTCGCCAGATCTTGCCTTTTTCGAAAGGAGTCAATAAAAAAAATAAAGATATGCACTAACTTAAACTAACTTAAAGAGAATTTTAGAATTTTCTATTCTTATTTATTTTGAGTCTTTCCTAAATACTTCAAATATTCAAATCAAAAAATGAGAATTGGTCAAATAAATTACTAGTAAAAAGTGAATACTTAGTTCTTAATTAAGATATTTATGAAGATAGAAAAACTTACAATTTTTAGTATTATTACAAAAATTTCTCTCCCATAGAGCAAGGATGAAGAATTATACCAAAAAAAGGTCTTTGATTCTGATATTAATCATAGGATCAACTAAGATCAACAACTTGGCCTAATGAGATAAGAACTCGCCATTGTAGTTAGTTTATTCAAAATTATTAACTAGTATTATGTCACGTATCTTTTAACAGATTAATTACCAGTCCCATTCAAATTTGAAAAGTGAAATTAGAAATACCCCTTCCTCGGGCTTGACCAATTAATAGAAAAAAAGATGAAAGTTTTTTCAGTAGGGAAAAGTTGGTTTCTTAAACTTTTTGATGTATTTTATTACATGTAAATGAAATATCGAACGCAGAAAATAGACAGAAACAGAAATGGAGGTTGGATTTTATAAACTTCAACCAATTTCGTTTCTATGATATATCGGATTCTACAGATATAGATTTAAGTGAGAAAGAATGAGAAATAAAGATACCAATCAGTACAAATTTTTCTTTCTTCCAGATATTGTAGGGAATAGAAAAAACAATTTTTTTAAATCACATAATAATCATATATCATATTCTTTTTTTTTTTTTTAGTAATATTTTATACGATTTTCACATATCTATATTTATTTTTTATGAAGAGAATATTATCTAGAGAATAAATAGATAGATAATGAATAGTAAAGAACAATTCGTTTTGAACAATAGATGTCTTTCACATCCAACTATAACAATGAGTGATCTCGTAATTTTAAAATGGCAGTTCCAAAAAAACGTACTTCTATATCAAAAAAGCGTATTCGAAAAAATATGTGGAAAAAGAAGGGATATTGGGCAGCGCTAAAAGCCTTTTCGTTAGCGAAATCCCTTTCTACCGGAAATTCAAAAAGTTTTTTTGTGCGACAAACAAATAAATAATCAAACGTTGGAATAATCTGAATCAACTTGACTCGAAAAATTGGCTAATTTTATTTATAATATAATTAATAATTTCCATTACTTACTGTATTGGACTAATCAATATGAAATAGAATTCGTCTTGCTTTTCTGATATATATAATAATAATTTGTCTCTTTACCGAATTCTAAAAATAATACCTTTGTGTTTGAAAAAACGAATAAAGATAAGATATGGGGTTTTCCCTTTCTTTTTAGTATATTTTATCATTTTCGGGGTGGGGATTCTTATTTTCCCCATCGACCCGCTTGTCACAATCACAATAATAAAAAATAAAAACGTTTTCTTTCTTTCTATATTTGGAAAAGGGCAAATATAAGATCTTTATTCAAAATGAAAGGGTCATTGAAACTAATTCATTAAGTTTCAAATTTTGTTTGTAACTTTCCGAATCATTATTTCTTTTAATTACTATCTATACCCTCATATGCCTCTCGCTTTCAACCTAATCGGTAAAAGGCGATATTATGTACAAAAATGTGTTAATTTTTAAGTGATTCAAAATAGATCCTATTTTTTGTTCATTGATAAAATGCATTTTTTTGTTTCAGATTTATGAAATCAAATAAATGAGAAATGAATCATTAAAAAATGAAAATGAGAAAAGACATTTTATTTTGAGTTCTATCCTTGGATTGAGGGCAGAACTATCTAGTTACAACAGTTCAATTAATTCTAAGAGAGCATAAACTACACGAAAGCCCTAAGTTAAATAAAACTGACACCCTACATGAAAATACTGAACCTTCAAATCCCGATTTGAACGAATTTTTATTCATCATTTTAAATCTTTCTTAAAAAATATTGCATTGACTTGACCCCTTTAATCTCGACGATTGAATATGAATAGGCTATTATGAGTTCGAGCAAGCCGCTATGGTGAAATCGGTAGACACGCTGCTCTTAGGAAGCAGTGCTAGAGCATCTCGGTTCGAGTCCGAGTGGCGGCATGCCATCTTCTAAAAAAGATACAATAGATCCTATAATGAACTCAATTCCTGATTTCCCTTCCGTAATTGAGGGATTCCTCTTTTTTTTAAAGATTTTTTATGATATTTTCAACTTTAGAGCATATATTAACTCATATCTCCTTTTCGATCGTTTCAATCGTAATTACAATTCATTTGATAACCTTATTAGTCGATGAAATCGTAAGACTATATGATTCGTCAGAAAAGGGCATGATAGCTGCCCTTTTCTGTATAACAGGATTATTAGTCACTCGGTGGATTTATTCGGGGCATTTCCCGTTAAGTGATTTATATGAATCATTAATTTTTCTTTCATGGAGTTTCTCTATTATTCACATAGTTCCGTATTTCAAAAAAAAAGAAAAATCATTTAAGCGCAATAACCGCACCGAGTGCTATTTTTACCCAAGGCTTTGCTACTTCAGGCCTTTTAACTGAAATACATCAATCCACAATATTAGTACCCGCTCTCGAATCCGAGTGGTTAATAATGCACGTAAGTATGATGGTATTGGGCTATGCAGCTCTTTTATGCGGATCATTATTATCAGTAGCGCTTCTAGTCATTACATTTCGAAAAGACATAAAGATTTTTTGTAAAAGCAATCATTTATTAAATGAGTCATTTTCCTTTGGTGAAATCCAATACATAAATAAAAAAAGCAATGTTTTGGGAAATACTTCTTTTTTTTCTGCTGGGAATTATTACAGGTCCCAATTGATTCAACAATTAGATCATTGGAGTTATCGTGTTATTAGTCTAGGGTTTATTTTTTTAACCATAGGGATTCTTTCGGGAGCAGTATGGGCTAATGAGGCATGGGGATCATATTGGAATTGGGACCCAAAGGAAACTTGGGCATTTATTACTTGGACCATATTCGCGATTTATTTACATACTCGAACAAATAAAAATTTGCAGGGTGCAAATTCCGCAATTGTGGCTTCTATAGGCTTTCTTATAATTTGGATATGCTATTTTGGAGTCAATCTATTAGGAATAGGGCTGCATAGTTATGGTTCATTTACATTAACGTCTAGTTGAATTCAAGAAGGGCCCTGACGAATACAAGCAGAGTACAGTGTATATAAAAAACTTCGTGTAAGCCGGCGAGAACCATTTGAATCAAGTAGTGTAGTGATTCACATGGTTCTCACAAACACCAAACATATATGGTTAAAATTCAAATTCCTTTTTGTTTTTACTTAACTTAAGAGAATACAAAAAAACTTCTTTTTTTTCATCGCACAACGAATGATTTTTAAAATCATAGGATTTTTTTTTTATTTTTTGTTTTATTCATGAAAACTATCTAGAAAAATAATTAGATAGAATAAGTTCGACCTTGTCAACTGATAGTGAAAGAACAAAATCGGGGTAAATACCAATACCTATGACAGGTAAAAAGATAGAGATCGAAACAAATAACTCTCGCGGTCCAGAATCAAAAAAATAAGAGTTTGGAGCATTAAATAGCTTGTATCCATAGAACATCTGACGTGACATAGATAATGAATAAATAGGAGTTAATATCATCCCAATTGCCATTACAAAAGTAATTAGTATTTTTGTCATTAAAAGATACTTTTGGCTGGTAATTATTCCAAAAAATACTATCAATTCTGCAACAAAACCACTCATGCCCGGTAATGCAAGAGAAGCCATCGAAAAGCTACTGAACATTGTGAATATTTTTGGCATTAGGATAGCTATTCCGCCCATTTCGTCGAGATAAGCAAGACGTATTCTATCATAACTCGTTCCTGCCAAGAAAAAAAGCGCGGCACCAATAAATCCATGAGAGATTATTTGTAAAATGGCTCCATTGAGTCCCGTATCGGTTATAGAGCCTATTCCTATAATTATGAAACCCATATGAGATACAGAAGAATAGGCTATTCTTTTTTTTAAATTACGTTGGCCAAGGGATGTTGAAGCTGCGTAGATTATTTGCGTTGTACCTACTATGATAAACCAAGGAGAAAATATAGAATGAGCGTGCGGTAATAATTCCATATTGATCCGAACCAATCCATATGCTCCCATTTTTAATAAGATTCCAGCTAGAAGCATACAGGTACTGTAATGTGCTTCTCCATGGGTATCTGGTAACCATGTATGTAGGGGTATAATCGGTGATTTGACAGCAAACGCAATAAAAAACCCAATATAGAATATTATTTCCAATACCACAGGATACGATTGATTAGCCGATGTTTCAAAATTTAATGTTGGTTCATTAGAACCATATAAACCGACACCCAGAACTCCCATTAAGAGAAAAATGGAACCCCCCGCAGTGTACAAAATAAATTTTGTAGCTGAATAGAGACGCTTTTTTCCTCCCCACATGGATAAAAGTAGATAAACGGGAATTAATTCTAACTCCCACATGATAAAAAAAAGCAAAAGGTCCCGAGAAGAAAATGATCCTATTTGACCGCTGTACATTGCTAACATCAGGAAATGGAATAATCGAGAATCCCGAGTAACTGGCCAAGCCGCTAAAGTAGCTAAAGTAGTAATGAATCCTGTCAGTAAAATGGGTCCTATAGAAAGTCCATCTATTCCCAATCGCCAGTGGAAATCAAAAAAATCGATCCATTTATAATCCTCCACTAGTTGGATTAATGGATCGTCTGATTGGAAATGATAACAGAATGCATAGGTTGTTAGAAGGAGCTCTAATATACATATACAAATAGTATACCACTTAATTACCCTATTTCCTCTATGGGGAAGAAAGAAAATTAAAGAACCCGCGGCTATTGGCAAAACTACAATTATTGTTAACCAAGGAAAATCATTCGTGGTAATGACAAGATACATTTGGACCAGAAAAACCCGTACTCAAAATATTTTATTTTCGAGTACGGGTTTTTGTCGGTAAAAAAAAATCAAATGGATTCAAGTGGAGTTTTATAGAACGTATCAATAAGCTAGACCCATGCTGCGAGTTGTTTCATGCCATAAATAAACTCGAACACTCAAGAAATCCGTTGGACAAGCGGATTCACATCTCTTACAACCGACACAGTCTTCTGTTCTTGGAGCAGAAGCAATTTGCTTCGCTTTACATCCGTCCCAAGGTATCATTTCTAATACATCTGTGGGGTAAGCTCGGACACATTGAGTACACCCGATACATGTATCATAAATCTTTACTGAATGTGACATGGGATCTATACATTTTTGAACATCACAAAATTTCGATCTAGTAAACTTATAAACGAATCATATATTTCGATACCAGACGAATCAATGATTTATCAGAATTTTTTTAATTAGTTTACTTCTGGATTGACTTATGAAAGAGAACACCAAGATACTTTAATTTCCTACCTTTTTGCAAGCACGACTATATCTTACGTAGCAGACATGCTAAATTAATCAACGATTATTAGAATTTATATAATTAATACTACCTTTACTTATTCAACAAATTCGATTGGTTGATACGAGTTGATTTTCGATTACGATAAATTGACGAAACAATAGCCAGTCCAATAGCTGCTTCAGCGGCTGCAATAGCTATAACAAAAATTGCAAAAATGGTTCCTTTTAATTGACGACTATCAAAAAAATCAGAAAATGTTACAAAATTTATATTAACTGCATTCAATATAAGTTCAAGACACATAAGGGCTCTAACCATATTTCGACTTGTAATCAATCCATAGATACCGATAGAAAATAAATAGGCACTCAAAATAAGGACATGTTCGAGCATCATTAACCAACTCCTTATTGATCTCGATTTATTTCAATATGAACAACAATTCAACCGATTCGATTGACTCGAATATAACAAGTATGGAATGAATATATTAGTAATAGATCAAACTAAAAGCATTTCTATTTTATACACGAATTCAAATAGAATTGAAGGGAAATAAATGTGATAACCTAGAACAAAATTGGATTTTGATTCTTAGTTCTAAAAATTTATTATTGACGGGCTACAGCAATTGCGCCTATTAAAGCAACTAAAAGAATTATTGAAATGAGTTCAAATGGAAGAAAAAAATCTGTTGATAAATGAATCCCAATTTGTTGACTATTATTTATCAAATCTTGTTCTAGAATCTGGTTTGATCTTGTAGTCCAAATAATCCCGTACCATGACGTATCTAGAATAGTAGTAATTAGTGAAACAAAAATACTTGTACAAACCATCGAAGTAACCCCATCCCCAACGGTCCAAAGATAAAAATCTTTGTGATATTCTGAACCATTCATGAACATCACAGCAAATATGATTAAAATATTTATAGCTCCTACGTAAATAAGAAGTTGCGCAGCGGCTACAAAATGGGAATTAGATAGAATATAGAATAGGGAGATACAAACAAGAACCAATCCCAATGAAAAGGCGGAAAAAATTGTATTGTTAAGTAATACTACTCCCAGACCTCCCAATATAATACCCAATCCCAGAAAAACTAAAAGAAAATCATGTATTGGTCCAGGTAAATCCATTCTATGTAAAATAAGAAATAAATAAATCGAAATATTTCATGACTTTATTGACCTGACCAGGAAAAAGGTGACTCTATATTTTTTTATGAGATTTCTTAATTGTTAATTGAATTCAATCTTAATGAGTGCGTATTAGGTACAGAAATCTCATTCTTTATCCGAAAGGATAGTTTGAAACTATATATTTTGAAATCATTACGAATATGGAATAAAATATAGAAATAGATTTTCTATCCAAATTGAGCCGCGGTTCTCACCAACTAATCAATAGTTTGGATTTTTAGTTATTGACCAAACAAAAACCGTATTCGTTTAGATCAAAACTTAACCTTAGTAATTGGGAATTGCTCTTGAATCAAGGGGTTTAGTCATTTTTTATTTGAGGCGAATTCCAAATTGTTCGAACCGTGGAATCGTCAATTACCGATATTGGTAAACGACCCAAAGCAATTTGATTATAATTCAATTCGTGACGATCATACGTAGAAAGTTCATATTCTTCAGTCATCGATAAACAATTTGTTGGACAATACTCAACGCAATTACCACAAAATATACAGATTCCGAAATCAATACTGTAATTAAGCAATCGTTTCTTTCGAATATCCGTTTCCAATTTCCAATCAACAACAGGTAGATCTATAGGACATACGCGAACACATACTTCACAAGCAATGCATTTATCAAATTCAAAGTGGATTCGGCCGCGGAAACGCTCCGATGTGATTAATTTTTCATAGGGGTATTGAATAGTTACGGGTAAACGATTCGCATGGGATAAGGTAATCATGAAACTTTGACCAATGTATCTTGCAGCCCGTATTGTTTGTTGACCATAATTCATGAACCCAGTTACCATAGGGAACATATCGCGAATATCTATAAAAAATTTTATGCCTGTTTCTTTCTCTTGTTTGAGACAAGTCGTGAATATCGTATTCCTTTACAGTGACATAAGTTGGGAAGAAGTTGTTAATAATAGATTACCTAGAGAAATAGGTAAAAGAAATTTCCATCCAAGATTTAATAGTTGGTCCATTCTCAGCCTCGGTAAAGTCCATCTTGTTGTGATAGAAATGAACAAGAACAAATAAGTTTTAGCTAATGTAATAAAGATGCTAATTATTGTTCCAAAGACTATACCCGCTTTATTTATTTCAAAAAGCTCAGGAACGAGTATGTACGGAATAGAAAGATTCCAACCGCCCAAGTAAAGAACTGTTACAAATAATGAAGAAACTAGTAGATTTAGATAGGAAGCAACGTAAAACAAACCAAATTTGATACCTGAGTATTCGGTTTGATAACCCGCTACTAACTCCTCTTCCGCTTCTGGTAAATCAAAAGGTAATCTTTCACATTCCGCTAGGGAAGAAATTAGAAAAATGATAAACCCTATAGGTTGACGCCACAAATTCCATCCCCAAAACCCATATTTTGACTGTGCTTCAACTATATCAACTGTACTTGAACTGTTAGATAATCATAGTCGGTGATAACATCACTGTTTCCATCGCTATTACAGAACCGTACATGAGATTTTCACCTCATACGGCTCCTCGAGGGTCACAAATAAATCTAAGGACGCATTCAATATTATTTATCTTGATATGTTTGTAGGATAGATAGAGTCAAAATCTATCGTAAGGTCCCGAATTAGACCAATGGAATTCTGTCTGCTCTATTTATAATAAATAAAAAAAGTGCTTCTGAATTGATCTCATCTTTTAATAATTTTTCTTTTTTTGTTGTGTATGAGTAATAACTTAATCTTTCAATAAAATACTTTTTGTAGCAATATCCATACATATTTCAACCTACCATTTTCAATTACGAAAAAGAATTAGACATTACATTAGTTAAAGAATTAGACATTACATTAGTTCATGAATCATGATAAAAAGCCCGTCTCTCTAAATATGTATATAGGAAAGAAAGAATAAAAAAAGATTTTTCCTTTTTTCTATTGCAATGAAATTCTTTCTATTTTATTTATTTTTTCGTTCCTATTCTCCTTTCTCAGAAAAGGGGGGCTTTCAAAAAAAATAAATAGAGGATTACTTCGTTCCTGATAGTTATTTACCGAATCGGTGGATAGGAGCATACTCTGGATCGGAATCGTGGGGAGTACTGCTTGATCGTTTCTACCAACTTAAAGTCCCAATTAGAATTCCTTTTATGCAGAAATATCCTGTTGGATAACTTACATAATCTCTATTACTAATCCTTTGTGTACCTTGGTGTTCCTAACCATCCACTCATTTTTGCCCAATCCCCCATTATAATAATACATGTCTGGTAATAAATAATAAAAACCCCATCCAGTTGATCTTTTGAACCCGCTTCAAGACATGATGACTAATCAACCAATCTTGGGGTAAGCAGCCTCTACTGTTTATGTTTACTTTCACTTAACTCTTGTACATAGGAAATGAGACTCAATCTTTTTACTGCGAATTTAAAAGCTGTTTTTCTCACTCATATAACTATCTGGTTTAATTCATTAACCCAAATGTTGAATAAAAAATATGAAAATATGTATTCAACGCATTTAACTTCTTTCCTATAAAGCAAGGAAATAGGGAAAGTTTTTGTCTCAACGAATCACACGTAGAGATATTGATAACACACATAGAGTTAATGGTATTTCATAACTAATTGATTGAGCAGCAGCTCGCAGACCACCTAAAAAGGAATATTTATTATTTGATCCATATCCTGACATAAGAAGTCCAACAGGAGCAATACTTGAAATAGCAATCCATAAAAAAACACCAATACTGAGATCGGCTAGAACAAGGCGATAGCCAAAAGGAATTACTAAATAACTTAGTAAAATTGATATAACTGCTATGGATGGTCCGATACTGAATAAACGAGGATCTCCTCTAGATGGAAGAAGGTTCTCTTTGAAAAGTAATTTTGTCCCATCTGCTAGAGCTTGAAGAATTCCCAAAGGGCCGGCATATTCAGGTCCAATACGTTGTTGTATTCCTGCTGATATTTCTCTTTCTAACCAAACAATTACTAGTACACCTATTGTGATTCCTAATACAAGAGTCAAAATAGGGACAAGCATCCATATGATCTCATAGACCTCTTTTAACGATTCCAATCTGGAAAAAGAATTGATAGCTTGTACTTCTGTTGTATCAATTATCATTTCAACGATCAACTTCTCCCATAATGATATCTATGCTACCTAGGATCGTCATAATATCGGCCAATTTCATTTTTTTAACTAACTGAGGAAGAATTTGCAAATTGATAAAACCTGGTGGGCGAATTTTCCATCTCCAAGGAAAAACACTCTGATCTCCTATGAGAAAAATTCCCAATTCCCCTTTTGGGGCTTCGACTCTTACATAAAGTTCTTGGTTCGACAATTCAAAAGTTGGAGAAGGTTTTTTACTAATAAATCGATATTCAAAATCATTCCATTCGGGATTCCTTACTTTATCAAAGCGTCGGATTTCTAAATTCTCATAGGGCCCCCCCGGAATTCCTTCTAGAGCCTGTTGAATAATTTTTATGGATTCTTTCATTTCACCGATTCGTACTAAATAACGAGCTAATAAATCCCCCTCTTTTTGCCATTGGACTTCCCAGTCAAATTCATCGTAACACTCATAATGATCAACTTTACGAAGATCCCATTGTATTCCAGAAGCTCGCAGCATTGGTCCTGATAAACCCCAATTTATTGCCTCTTCGCCTCCAATAATGCCCACCCCCTCAACTCGTTCTAAAAAAATAGGATTCCGCGTAATAAGCTTTTGATATTCAGCAACCCCTGTTAAAAAATAATCGCAAAAATCCAAACATTTATCTATCCAACCATGAGGTAGATCAGCAGCTACTCCTCCGATACGAAAATAATTATGCATCATTCGCATACCGGTAGCAGCTTCGAATAGGTCATATATTAATTCTCTTTCTCGAAAAATATAGAAGAAGGGGGTCTGCGCACCAATATCGGCCATAAAGGGGCCAAGCCATAACAAATGAGAAGCTATACGACTTAATTCCAACATAATTACTCTGATATAGCTAGCCCTTTTGGGTACTTGAATATTTCCTAACTGCTCTGGTGCATTTACGGTTATTGCTTCTGTGAACATAGTAGCTAAATAATCCCAACGTGTTACATAAGGCAAATATTGTATAATTGTTCGGTTTTCCGCAATCTTTTCCATCCCTCTGTGTAAATAACCCAATATTGGTTCACAGTCAATAACATCTTCACCATCTAGAGTAACGATGAGTCGAAGAACACCATGCATTGATGGGTGTTGAGGGCCCATATTGACTATCATGAGGTCTTTTCTTGTAGCTGTTGCAGTCATAAGTTTTTCCCTGATTCATTCTTCCATGAATTGCTGAAAGCGAAAAGAAGTTCATCAAAAATTAAGCGAATAATTCAAAATGACTCATCAAATTAACGAGTTTTTGTCTCTCGAATACCCAACTGACTAATTAATTCTTTATAACGTACTCTATTTTTTTTTGACAAATAAGCCAATAGCCGTTGACGTTTTCCCAGAATTTTCCGCAGACCCCTCTGAGATAAATAGTCTTTTTTGTGCAATTCCAAATGGGAAGTAAGTCTCTGTATCTTATTGGTGAACACGAATACTTGAAATTCAACGGACCCCCTCTTTTCTTCTTTTTCTTGGGAAATAACCGAGATGAATGGATTTTTTACCATAAAAGAACCCCCCTTTTACATATATTAATTTTACCGATCAGTAATAATAATAAGGCTAGTCATTTTAATCTGATATACACAATAATCTAAATTTCTTTATGGACTCCAATTTTATCAAGTAAAATGAATCAATAATCAATTCAATTTAAAATTGGAGTCGGATAGGAATACAAAAGGATAATACATTTCTGCACTTACGAAAGAGAATAATTTAGGCCTAAAATAAAGAAGATTCATTTCTATATCGAATGGATACGTCATTGAATTGGTATCGTATATTAGTGTAAGACAAGGCATGTGCGCATTTGTTTTGTTTGCTTTTAGATACTAGATATGATAGAGGATATAGAGGAAAAATGTACCATCAACAAAGTTTCAATCGTGGATACATATGTATCCTTAACATACTGAAACGACTTCCATTATTGGTATCAAACCAATAACGATTCATACAAGCTAAATCTTCTAATCGATAATTGGGCCAAAGGAAAAACTTTAATTTAATTAATTTATTTTTCTCGCTATCAAGATGCGGATTTTCATCCAAAAATGGACCCCAGTCTTTTATGCTGTTCCCGTTGCAAAATACTGGATTTCTATCCATACCATTTCTATTCTTTGAATTGAAACAAATTAGAATTCTCAACTCTCTACAACGTCTAGATGATAAAATATTTTCAGGAATAAGCAAATCATAATGATTTTTGTCTATATTTCCAGTTATCTTTTGATGTTTTGCAATGAATTCATCAAAGTTCTTCTTATCAAGATATTCTTTTTCTCGGTATCTTTGATTAGTTTTGTGCTTACTCTTATGAACCAATGAAATACCGAGGGTTTGATACATAATAAATTGTCCGTCGTTTTTTAAAAACAGACGAACGGGTTCGATAATCAATATTCCCTTTTTCATCAATTCTGTAAGAGTTAAATTCTTTTGAATCAGCATTATATCCAGACTTATTTCTCTTCTTTGAATCGAGAATATAGCAATTTCTTTTGGATTTCTCAGTCTAAGCAGGAGACAATATACTTTGATATTATTGATCATTCTTTGATTCAAAGTCTCATTCCATCTCAATTGAAAAAGCAAATACTTGTTCAAGAAGAAATGGAGTTCTGCTTCCGTGTTATTCTTGTATTGTTTTTTATTTGTACGTTTTTTCATATCTGATTCCGGATACTCTTCTTCAATATCGTTTTGTTGGTTTGAGAGAGGGGACCCAAGATATTTTTTGTTTTGTGCATCTGATCCAAGATCCCCTTGGCCTGCGGGTTCTTTTTCGTTTTCTGCTTGATTTATATTCTTTATCTTTAATTCAAAAGATTGTTTTTTATTCGGTGGTATAAAAAGATTCCTTTGTTGCTTTCCGTTGATGTTTTTATTTTTACTCAAATTGTCAGTTATAGTTAAGTTTAAAAGAAGCAATTTGCTTGGTATAACCCATGGTTTTATTTTATATATATTATAAAGTAACAAAAATTCTGGGAAGAACCAAAATTCCAGATTCAATATGGGACGATTTAGTATTTCTTCATTCATTCCCATCCAATCTAAAAAGATTTTGTTTTGGTTGGGTGGATTGCTTTCGGGATCTTGATGAATCGGAAGATAAAAAAGATCTTTCTTATCACTTTGATGAATTATTTGATAATTCTTAGTGCCGGTTTTAGTATTTTTATTACTGTTGGTATCTATTTCGATCCATGCTTCAATATCGACTTTTTTTCTAAGACAAAAATTGATAATTTTCCAATCAAAATATTTTCTATCCGGATTTTTTCCCATATACCCAATATCACCTTCTCCTAGATAATTATTGATAGTGGTAATCTCCGGCATATCAAATAATTTGTGTTTATGTGTATTGTAATTATAAGAAATTTCTTGGTTCTTAGTTACTTCGAACGGTGATCCATAAAGATATGAGTTCCTCTTATTTTCATAATTAATAGATTTATATGATAAAAGATCATATCTATAGTTTTTTTGAAAATTGTCTTTTTCATTCGGCAATGAATATATTTCATAATCTTTTTGTTTTTTGTAATGAATTAGTTGGTCTTTTTCATATGAATCCCGTTTGTTTAAATCTTTAGTTTGAGCTGTACGACGTTGATTGACTCTATTTCGCCATTTTTGTGGTATTAATCTAGACCATTTAATCCGAGAGAAATCGTATTGATAATGACCTTTTAACCAATTTTTCCATTGATTCATTCCAGAATTCCGAAGTTTCTTATGGCTTAATTCGAAATGAAATATACCTTGTGTTCCAAAATAATCCTTTATTGTATTCTTAAGAAAAAAAGATGTTCCGTGATATTGAAGAACAGATCTTAATTTATACAAGTTAATAACTTGGGTTTGGGATAATTTGTAAAATACATATGCTTGTGACAAGGAGGGTAAGTCACAAAAAATCTGTGAATTTTTATTATTATTACTAATATTATAAAGTGACTTTTTTATAGTGGAAATGAAGTGAATTGTAGTTTTATTTCTTTTAGCAATTCTTTCTTGATTTGTTTCATTATTGTAAATGTATTTATCAATAATTTTGTTTGTTGATGATGCAAGAAAAAGTTGTGTATTGATTCTGGGAATATTAATGATATATAGAAAGATATCCATGGATATCTTTTCAATGAAAATTTTTATAAAATAATGTAATTTACGGAGTAATCGAACGTTTCTTCTTTTTAACATTTGCCAAATAGTTTTTGGTGATTCTAATCTTTTAACATTATAACTTGTTTTGTTAGGACTAATATTTATTCCTGGAGTTTTAGTTTTTTTCTCTTTTGTAATTCTTTCTATTTGATTTCTTATTGTGCTTGTTCTATCAGTTAGATCTTTCATTTTTTTTTCTGTCAGTGAATAATTTGTCCAATTCGTAGATCGAATTTGACTAAACGATTCATGAATTTTCTGATCGTTGATTGTAGAATCTTTTTCTTTTTTAGTTTCACTCGACTCATCTACTTC